CAAGATTTGAGTTCAGCCTGTGACCAATCCTCCCCTCGTCACCCAGCACCACACCACGTCCTTGGACACCTCCAGGGATGTCCCTCCTGGGCAGGAGAAGTGGTGGAGTCACCACCTCTTTTTAAAACTGCTTTAACTGGGAGAAACCCCCTCAGCTGCTGGGATGGAAAGGAGCCCTGAGGAAGCTTCAGGACTTGGCAAGAGGATCCTGTGGGCTAAAGGTCCCCTGTCCCTGCAGCACCCAGAGGAGAGGGGGAGCTTCAGGCAGAGGCAGGGCAGGAGAAGGGCCAGGTTTGTCTGCAGGAGGATGAAAACAACTCCTCTGAAAGCTTTCCAGGGACTTGCCCTCCTGTGTATCTTTATTGGGGACGTCAGCTCTGGAATTCCTCTGGCACCCATGGGTGCCACCACATGCCCTGGCTCCTCTCAGCAACAAAATCCTGCCCTGTGAAGCCCCTCTGTGGCTTTTTCTGCTCTTTGCATTGCCTGGCTCTTGTCATTATTGTCCCCAGTGCTGGCAGCATCTTGCTCTGGACCTGCTCCATCCCATCCAACCTGGCCTGGGACACTTCCAGGGATCCAGGAGCAGCCACAGCTTCTCTGTGCACCCAGAGGATTTCTTCCCTAATATTTAAGCTAAATTTCCTAAGGATTCCAGCTTGACCCTTGTCCTGGTTTAGGGCAAATTTGGGAGAAAATTCATTTCCCCAGCTGGGGCGGAGTTTGTGGCTGAGCAAATCCGAGCATTCTCCTGTGCATTTGGGGCTCGTTAATCCTCCCTGCCCTCAAGGAGCTCCCAAAATAGCTCTGAGCTCCCCTCAAGGGCAGCCTCAACAACAGGTGATGCCCTGGATGAGGCTGCTTGGAGCCCACTGGAATTTCTCCTGCTATTATCCCAGCAGGAGCAACTGGGATGCATCAGAGCTTGGGGTGGAGGTGGCAGGATGGAGGACCAAGGAGGAATTCCCCCTCTCCCACCTGTCCTGACAAAATCCTGACAAAATGTGCCCTGTTCCCAGTTTTCCATGAGATGTGGGATGGCTGTGGCTCGATGCTAACTGGGATTCTCCAACTGCAGCCACAGGATGGACAGCTGGAAGTGCCACTCCACCCTGCTTTGCCACAATTTGGGGGTCAAAGAGTCCAATTCCATCAATTCCAATTTTTTTCCTCCAAAAAAAAATAAAAATAAAACAAAAATTCTGATTACACTTTCTTAAGGGAGGCTTCTGAAACACGGAAAATTTAATTTCAGATTGACGCATTCGTTTCGCTTTGGTTTGGATGATAAAAGAAAAGTGGAAAATTTAATTTCCTCTTTGTTTGCTCTGTCCTGGAATGCACTTGTCGAGATGATGCCGAGGGTGTTCTCATTTCTCCTCCACCCCCCTCCTTTGCTGTTTTAAACCCATCAAAATCACAGAACTCCTCCAGCTGAAGGAGGGTGGAAGGAAGTGGAACAATCCCTGGGTCAGTGCACTCCCCTCACCTCTGGAAAGGGGAACAAAGCAACCATGGACTTGTGACTTCTTTGTTTTCTAGAATGAAACATCTGAAACGATTTTTTCAAAGCTGACAAACAAAACACAGAACCTTCCCCCTGCTTGGTGTGGAATTCCTTTCTGGCTCTACAGTTTTCCTGATGTTTCATGCAAGGCTCCCAGCCCCAATGTCCAGCCTGGCCTTGGGCACTTCCAGGGATCCAGGGGCAGCCACAGCTTCTCTGGGCACCTGTGCCAGGGAAGAATTCCTTCCCAATATCCCAATATCCAGCCTAATTTCCCCTCTTTCTTGAACCCATCCCTCTTTGTCCTTGGTGAAGAATCATCCTTTCCTTTGGTCCTCATTTCCTGATGTTTCCCTGACCTCTGCTGAAACAGGGATCCCTTTGGATGCTGTTGCTGCCTCTGGGATGACCCCTCTGCCTGGTTTTATTCTCCTGCTTAGACTTTCTTGACCATTTAGATTTGAGCTTCCATGGCCAGCCTCTTTCCCATGTGGCTTCTGTGACACCTGGAGCCACCTGGAACCACCTGGAGCTCCCTGCTCGGTTGCCTGGTTGCCACTGCAAACACAGCTCTTTGTCACCTGCATCCCTGGACACTCATCCAGCCTTTCCATTGGCTTGGGTAGCCTTGGAAGGAAGATTAACTCCTAAAAACAGCGGCTCTGCCTGCAGGCTGCAGCCAGAACCTGCAGTAAGTAGTTAATGGTTAACAGCACTGGATAATTCCCTGCTTTCCCAGTTTCCAGCCACAACAAGCTGTGGATGCAGCATGGATGAACCAGCTGGGTGTTTATAATGTCCAGATTTAATTTGATGGGATTTTTTTGTGCTTTAATGACCATAATTTCCATTTCTGTAACGCCCCTTCTTCCTGTTTTTTGTTTCCTGCTGTCAGGTGACAGCCTGGGCTGGGCACATTCCTATTTTCATTAGGAATTTCACTGACACAAAATGCAAAACAGAGCAGCCCCCATCACATCCTCAAATGAGGAGACAAAACCTCAGCCTCAGGACTGTGCAATCCACAGGTTCCCACCAATCTCCATGGAGACCAATCCAGAGCATCTGGGAATTCAACATTCTCCTATAGCAATGAGAATGATGGTAAATCACCAGCTTGGAATGGTTTAATCCAACATTTGCTGGGATTTGTGACTTTTGAATTGAAATAAATGTGGCTGTGAGACCCAGAATTCAGCTTGTGGCCTAGGAAGGAAAATCTCAGGAATGATATTGGGGTCAAGGCAGCAGGGAAAAGGATAAAATGTTTAAAAGGGAAATAAGGAAAGCAGGGAAGGCCCAACTTCCAGAAGGGAAATTAGGAAGGCAAGGAAAGTACCTGCAGGTACTTTTAAAGCAGGATTTAGAAAGGATGCTGAGAGATGAAGCATCATCCCAAAGGGATGTGGCTGTGCCTGAGGTGACCACGGCTCTTGGAGGGCACAGCCCCTCAATCCTCCTCCATCCTCCAGCAAAATCCATGCCCAGAAGCCACATCCCACAGGGATTGCTTGGGGCTGGCAGCCCTGCTGGCAAAATGACCTAAAAAATTGCAGCAGTCACAAGAGAATCCCCTGATTTCTCTGCAGCCTCTGCTGTTTGCCAGGCAGCCCCAAACCCAGCCAGATGTGGGGGTTTTAGGAACCTGTAAACATCTGGAAGCGATGGGGTGAGGTGACTGGCATCACAGCCTCGGGGGACAAACAGGACAGAAAACAAGGAGCAAGGAGTGGATTTGTGGGTGGAAAAGTGGTCCTTGGATTCCTGGAAGGATTAAAGTGCCTCGTAAAACAGCCTCATTCAGCCAGCAAGTGCTGACATCTCGGCTTAACAATGCTCTTTACCAGCCGTTTAAGAAAGCTGTTCTCAGGAGGTTTAAAGTTGTCATAATTCATGTTCATACCTCAGACCATGAAAGGATGAAGAAAGGGTTTATTGCAGCGATGTGCTGCAATCATCTCCTCACAGCCCTTTGCTCTCAAGCTTTAGGAACTCCAGGAAGATGTTTGGACACTTCCAGGACTGTCTGGAGTTGTGTGGGCTCTTGGCAAACAAGGCTCACCCAGTCCTGAAACCTAGGGCTGACCCCAGAGCTCTGTAAATCCAGATACAAAGGCTGGGAGCTGGAGAAAATCCATCCTGGAGGAAAATCCATCCTGGAGGAAAATCCATCCTGCAAAGGTTGGACAAGGCTCTGATGTGGGTGGGTGGCACAGAAGGTGATTTTGGGAATGTCCCACAGGTTTGGGATCAGCTGCTGACTTTGGGGGCTCTCAGTGGCACTGAAAAGGGACCTGTGAAGTTTTTCAGGCTGTCCTGTGATAAAATTCCCAAATCCTCCTGGCAGTGCTGCCTGCAGCTCCTGCCAGAGGAGTGAAACCCCAGGGTACTGCTGCCTGGAGCATCTTTATGGATTAGGGCTCTCCAGGATCTCCACTGCTTTTAATTGGGATGATAAACTGTCTCGTCATTAATTCAGCTGGAAATGTGTCATTTTGATTCTTTCCTTGCTTGGGGACCGATTTTTTCCCCTGTCAAACGCTCCTGAGGAGCTGCAGCGCTGTCACTGCCACCCTGTGCTGGCTCACCCAGGAGAAGAGCGGGGATGGGGAGGAGCAATTAAGGAGCTGATGTGAGATTTGGGTGAAGAACCAGCCCAGTGCCACACAGCAGAGCCCAGATTCCTCTGCTGTCATCCTGTGGAACCCTTGGGATGCTCAGCACCTTCTTCACCCTCTTTTTTCCTCCTCCTTTGTTTGTTTGACGCCTCCTCCTCCCGCAGCCCCACACCACTGCCCTGCTGTTGCCCAGCTCCACTCCGGCCTTCTCCCACAGCCCATTCCCACCTGGATTTATTGCCCATCACCCAGCAGCACCAGGAATCCCTGGGGAGGCTCTGCCACCGGTGTTTGTTCAGATCCCCCTGGTTAACCCGACTGCATCCAACTCCTCCCTCTGGCAGCCACCGCCCCTCCCAAACCGCCCTGGTGTTTTTGTGTTCCCCCCCAGCCATCCCCTCCCTCTGGTGCCACCCGGGGAAAAAAAGAGTGGGAAGAGCAGGACTTTCCATTCTTTATTTGTCAGAACAGTTTGTTCGGTGAGGAGAACAGAGCCGTGACCCTCCCCGTGGTGCTGCAGCTGCACCCCGAGCTCCCCACGCCTGCTCCCAGCTCCCTGCAGCTCTCCTCCCGTGCAGAGCTGCAGCTCCAGCCCATGGATGAGGCTTCCAGGCAGGACAGACCACGGTTCCCCATTCCCCACAGCTTCCACAGGGAATATCGGAGCATCCCCACTGCTGGAGCTCAGGCTGGGCTTTGGCCATGCACTTGTTCCTGCCAGGGATTTCTCCCTGCGGGATCACAGAATCACATAATGGTTTGGCTTGGCAGGGACATTAAAGATGATTTAATTCCCACCCCTGCCATGGGCAGGGACACCTTGCACTAGCCCAGGTGGCTCCAAGCCCCATCCAACCTGGTCTTGGACACTTCCAGGGATGGGACAGCCACAGCTTTTCTGGGAAATCCATTCCAGAACCTCAGCACCCTCACAGGGAAGGATTTCTTCCTGGTATTTTGGGATATGAGCACTCAGTGCCAACACTGATCCATTTTGGCTCTGTTTGCCCCTTCCCTGCACCCCAGATGAGGGAGGGAGCAGCTGCTGGGCACTGCCAGAGGCTGCTCCAGGGATGGGTTTGGATCCCTGACAGACTCATTAATGACCAGGCTCATCCTGTGCTGACCCACGGGAAGGACAGGGAGCAGCAGCAGCCAGGGGGCCAGGGAGGTTCTTGGGAGGGGAAGAGGAGCACTGGTCAAGTGGCAGGACAACATGAACAGCAGGTGCTTGAGGAGCAGCACAAGGAAATATGGAATGAAGTTTCCAGGAGAAAATGCAGGTGGAAAAACTCCCAGCAGCTCCTGGTGTGGAGCACGGAGCCACCTCCCAGGGGACAGCACAATAACCCCGGGGTCAGGGCGCTTAAAAATAGATCCACATTGAATGGAATCCATGGAACAAGGCTGAAGGGTTGCAGGCAGATGGGTTTGGACAGCTCTGCAGGCAGGTCCCTGCTTTTGGGCTGGCAAATGATTGGAGCAAGTTCATCCCTTCCTGTCCCTGTACCTGCTCTTGCACATCAGGGGCTGGGGAGAAGGAGAACTGCCACAACCCCATGCACATCCCAAACCTGCAAACGATCCCAAGGACAGTGTTTCCAGTACAGAATAAGGGACTGGAGCCAGCCAGGAATCTTCTGAGGAACAGGTTTTTGTTGGGAATCTCCCTTCAGCAGGTTTGGACAAAGCCTTGGCAGGGCTCTTCAGAGGGAAGGGAGAAATCAGGTTCTCCTAGGGAAGCTGGAGCTGTGCCAAGGGATTTTGGGGTGTTCTGAAAGCTGTGGGAGAGCAGCAGGGTACCTGAGAGCCCTCCAGGCGAGGCTCTCATAGCCCTGCACAAAGAAAATCAGGATACAGGGGCACTGCTGAGCTCCTGCAGCCTCTGTCCTTCCCAATAAAGCTCTGCTCTTAGTCCTTGAATGATCCACATTGCATCCTCACCCCAGGGACAGCAGTTCTGGTCTCAGCTTTTCCCTCGTGTGCCCACTCCCTGTCCATAGAATCCTAGAATGGAAGGACCTTAAAGCTCATCCTGTTCCACCCCCTGCCATGGGCAGGGACACTTTCCACCAGCTCCGGTTGCTCAGAGCTCCATCCAACCATCCTTGGACACTCCCAGGGATGGGAATGGTCCCTCTCAGATCTTACAGAACCACAATATGGTTTTGGTTGGAAGGAACCTTAAAGACCACCGAGATCACCAATGCCCCCACCAGAGCAGGACCCCTTCTCCAGGAGCACACTCCTGGTGTTCTGGGAGCTGTCCCTGTGTCCTGCCCCTCTCTCAGTGCCCTCACACACACCTGGCTGTTGTGGGGAGGGGGCTCCTTTAGCAGCTTCACATCAAGCAGCGAGACAATAAATAAATAAATAGGATTGCACTTGAGGGGAAGGTTCTGCAGCTGGAAGCCCGAGAGGGAAGGTCTGAGATGGGGCTCCCACAGTTCAGTACCAGCATGTCCTGCCCAGGTCTGGGAGCAGCTCAGTGACCACAGAGCAGCAGCTGGGCCACCACCACCACCTGCCAGTCCAAGGTGCACATTTTTTATGGTTTTCAGTCAGGTTTTCCTGCTGTTTTCTGCCTGACACCCTAAGTCCCTCCATCTCTTTCTCCACTTAATGAGTTTTCATCAATCCAAAATCAGGAGCTCAGCATGCTCCTTGCCACAGCTGCAGGAGAGGGATGGATGTTCTGTCATGTTTTGAGCCTCAGGTGGGAAATCTTGGCTCCCAAGGGTGGCTGGCCCTGCTAAAATGTGACTTCCTGCAAGGAAAAGGATTGCCAGGTCCCAGCCTTTCCAATGGCTCTGGTCCAGGCAGGACAGTTGGAGATTTTTTGGAGTAAGGAGCGAACAAAGGCCACATTCCTGCCCAGTGCCAATCCTTCTGCTGTGACAGTCAGGGCCCCCCGTGCTCTCTAGAGAAGAAGAGGTAGACAGAGAAGACACCAGAAGGAGAAACAAGCACAGAATAAATCAAAGGATTCTTCCATGCTCCTCTCTCTTGGTCTTGGACAGATTCCTGTTCCACCTGGATCCCCACCCAGCCCATGGACAGGCTGCCATGAGCACATCCTGCTGGGCTCCTGAGCTGGCTGTGAGATCTGCCTCTTCCAAACCAGCTGGAGACCATACGTGGGCCTGGTGCTCCCTTTTGGAAAGGGTTTCCCAAGAGGAAAAAAAAAACCCTCGGCACCTTTTGTCATGGTTTGGACTGAATTCCTTCAGTTCCTGCAGCTTCTCTCCCGGTGTCCTCCAAGGCTCTCAGAGCCTCTCCTGGTCCCTTGGTTGTCCTTCCCCAGCTTCTCCTGGAGGTGCTGCACGATGGGTGATGGGTTGGGATGAGGACCTTTGCCAAGGCAATCACTTCCCACAGCATCCCCTGGCTCGGGGAAGCGAGGCCATGCTCCCACTCCATCTCTCCAGAGCCCTCGTGAGCTCAGGGTGGTGAGGAACAGAGGTTGGATCATTCAGCTCTCCACCATTCCTGGACATCCAGGGATCTCTGTGGGGAAAAAAGAGGAAGGAAAACAGAATTAATTTAGCACAGAGATGTTGGGATAGAGGAGGGATTCAGTTGCCAAAACCAGGAGAGGGATTAAACCTCTTTCCTTGATTGTGGAGATAGCAAATGACTGACAAGTCAGATGAAAAAAAGGGAAATTAATTCAGAGATAGAGAAAGGAACAAGTACAGAATATGACAGTGTTTTTATTTTCTGGAAGTGATATTTTTTAATAAGGACATGTAGAAGATTATCATCTGTGCGTGTAGGAGAAGAAAACAGCTTTAAAGCCAAAATGGATCTGCAGAGAGGAAAAAAAACCCCATATCTGTTCTTTGGGAACACAATGCCTCTCTCAGAAGAATTCTGGGTATCCAAACTGGAGTGGTATTTCTTGTGCAAATCAAGGATGTAGTTCCAACGTGATAGGGATGATTTGCACCACTGTCCCTTGCCAGCATCTCTTTAAAAAGACGATTTGCACTCCATCTGCCCTGTAAAGCGTGTTTATCCCTTCTTCCTTCCTTCCTTGCTCCCGTCTTCCCTTCCTGCTTCCCTCCCCAACCTGTGCCAGGGCCTCCCCATCCTCTCAGGGAAGAATTTCTTCCCAATATCCCACCTCTCTCTCTATTTGAAGCCATTCCCCCTTGTCCTGGCCCTACAGTTCTTGAGGAAAACTGGAAACCTTGCAGATTATGAGCTCTTAAGAAAATCCCTGTGTGAAACAATCCCTGCTCTGCAATTCCAGCAATTTCCACAGGTGACATTCCCCTGTTTATCCCGGGTGGACAATGCACCCAGACACGAAGGATGGATGATGAAAGCTGTGACTTTGTGCACTGTGGAATGCTGAGCACGCTGGAGTTTTTCCAGGGCAAATCTGGAAACTCAGAGTGAAGCTCCTCTGCCCTTTTTCATCATCTGGGAGCCCGAGGCCTCTTCTGCAGCAATCCTATAGATGGTGCTTGTCAGCTTCCAAGGAAACCTGAACCTTTCCCAGAGCTCCCAGGGCAAAGCCACTTGCAGAGTTCAAGTGGGAAGAAAAGGGGATATTCCAAAATAATTGAATTTCTGTGTTCAGGAAATGGAGCCACAGAGCTCTGCAAGGTTATGCTTCCAGCTCTGCATCCCTCAGCACTGGGGTTTAATTGCTGCTGTTGTAATTAGAGAGCTTTGCTCGTTATAGTGGTGCTGCTCATCACCCCCATCCCTCTTGGGTCAGGGGCTGAGATCCTGGTTTGGCTTTTCCCAGGAAAACAAAGGAAGTGGATGTTTCTGGATAATGACTGTGTGGTGTTCCAAGCCACACAGCCTGACAGGAGACAGAAGTCCAAATCCCTCTTCCCGCTGCCCCACTGGATGAGTTTCCCACCCAATCTCCAATTTCCATGGCAATAACCCCGGTTTGGTTTCCCTCCTGGCAAACCATGAGCAGAGTCATGCAGTGAGGACAAAAAGGGTGGGAAAACTGGGACAATGTTCTGTTACCTCTCACTGCACCTCCATAGGCACCTTCCAGCCCAGGGAGGCACCTCCAGGTCACTCTCAGTAGGTCCCAGGTCCAGCCTGAGCTGCTGACCCCATGTCCTGCTCGGTGGCACCTCCAGGGCTTCTCCTGGACCTTGAAAGCAGCCATGCCACACCAGCAGAGGGGTATAAATCACCCTGGGTCCTGTGGTATTTATGGGGCAAGGCCCTGAAGTGACCACTGGGCTCTCCAGCTTCCCTAAAAGCAGCCACCAGAATTCCAGGCACTCCTTTGGAAAGTCTCTTTAGAGTTGTTGGGGAAGCCCTACAGCTTCAAGAGGAAATATCCACTTCATAACCATAATTATTAATATTCATTTTTAAGAGGAAACATCCCCCAGACTGCTTAAACCCACAGGCTGCAGGCTGGATCCACAGCAGAGAGGGGACAGCACCTCTTTTACATTCTCCTGCTTCCAATCCTTTTAAAAAAAAGAGGGAAAACCTAGAGGAGCAAGTGAGTAAGGATTAACACCCTGATCGCTGTCTTCAACAACTTCTTGGGTCCTCTTGGAGGAGAAAAGTGCAGCCAAGAGCAACATTCCCACCCCTCCAGACCAGCTCTTGGCACCACTGCCAGGGGAAGTTCCTCCACCTGCTGGGACCAGCTGGGATTTCCATGGGATATCTGCCTGGTGCCCACCAAGGCACGAGGGCACCGCTGCCCTGCTCTCCATCATCATCCCAACACAGGCCACAGGGTGGGATCCACCCCTGTGGGGCTCTCCTGGAATAGTGTCAGGCAATGGGAATAATCACTTCACACAGGATTAATAGGATTAATCCTTTCATTCATTAATGACCTGGAGCTCTTTGAGGCCCAAACTGTGCCCAAGCTACAGCTCATTTCCATCAACTTAATTCCAGCAGAATCCATGGAATTGCCCTGCTGTCAGCACTGCATCCCAGAGCAAACCCCACCTTGCTCTTCAGTCCCAGGGCAAGCTGAGCCCAAGCTCTTTTGGAATAAATCAGCTGCACCGCTCTGAAATCAAGGAATCAAACTCCCCTTCTCAATTCCATCACGGCGCCGACGTCAGCGCGGCCATCTCGGATTTATCCTCGTGTCACTGGGAGAGGATTTAGCCCTCACTGATTTATTCCCCTGTAAAACTGAGGTGCAGGGGGAGCGGGGTTTGCAGCTTGTCCAGGCCCTGATGGAAGACAGGGCTGCCCAAACGGCGGCATAATCCCAAGAATCTTTATTTATGGGCTCCGGGTGCGAGCGCACGTAGAGGGAGGAGCTGGGAGATGGCAGCTCGAATAAACAGCACATCCCTTCTCCCAAACATCTGCCTCGTAAAAAGCACAAAATCAGATGTTGTCCTGGAATGCTGCTGGCTGCTCCCAGTGACACAGACAGAGCACAGCTCGCCTGACCCCTTCCAACATTTCCTCTGCCCTGGGAGCTGAATTCCTCAAGGTTCACAAGGCATGGCTTAATATTTAAAACAGAAGTTGGCCCAGGAAACCTTGCAGCCTCTGGTCCTGGCCAGTGCCTGTTCACCTGTGGGAATCTTGGATTCAGCAGGATGAATCAGCCACATCCCACAAAGCAAGGGATGCACAGCCTTGCTAACAACTTCCCAGCTGGAATTCACTCCTTTAATTCCCTTCTTCTGGTTCAGGACAGGCCTAGGAGAGCTGGAAGCCTGATGATGAAGTTTTTGGTCATTAGTCCTAATTAATCCCAGGCTCAAGGACAGCCATTCCACAGGGTGATGAGCTGATCAGAAAGTCAAATTTCCCTTTCCAGTCAATGAGAATGGATTGCTGCACACAGAGTCGCTGCACGGCTCCCATGGGACATTCCCCAAGGGGTCAAGGAGAGGATCAAGAGGGAAAAAAAAATTCCCTGTGGGTTGTCTCAGTGCTTTGCACTACCAGCTTTTGCAAATCAGCAGGAACAGCAGTGACAGGACACAGGGAATGGCTTCAAACTGACAGGGAGCAGGGTTAGGTGGGATATTGGAAGAACTCCTTCCCTGGGAGGGTGGGGAGGCACAGGGTGCCCAGAGAAGCTGTGGCTGCCCCCGGGTCCCTGGAAGTGTCCAAGGCCAGGATGAGACTTGGAGCAACCTGGGACAGTGGAAGGTGTCCCTGCCCATGGCACGGGATGGCACTGGATGACCTTTAAGGTTCCTTCCAACCCAGACTGTGCTGGGATTCTGTGATTCTGTAAATTTCGTATTTGCTTCACTCCATTTGAACCCAGTACCCTGTGTAAATCTCCGGGGGAGCTGGATGTCCATGGAAATGGAGCTCTCTGCAGCTTCTCCCCAAACAATCCAAGGATTCAAGGTAGAATGAGGGCAGAGCAAGACGGAATTTCCTGCTCCAGCCCTCCAGGAACCAGGAAAATCTGCCAGCCTTGCCCTGCACAGTCTGCACCTCCACGGGGTTCTCACAATCCAGTCAAGCCTGGCACAGCTCATCTCCAGACTGTCCCCCCTTTCCTTTCCTGCCTCTCCAACCTCTCCTTGGAAACTCCTGCTATTTTATCCTGTTTTTGCAACCTGTCATCCCCCATTTGCCAACAGTTCCTCCCGGAACATTTAAACAGCATCTGCTCCGAGTGCGGGAGTGTGAGAGGAACCCCGGGGCACAGCAACAGGAGAGGAACCATCAGGTGCTCCTGCACAGCTCAAGGGAAAAGAAAAACCTGTGAATGCCTGATAAGAAGCCAAGGTGCAGTGTTAAAAAAACCCACCCAGACTGTCCCCATCCCAGATTTAGTCTTGTTTATGATCATTTTTATCTAGGAAAGGAAAAATTCCATTTTATCCCTTCTAGTTTGCTATGCCAAGCCAGGGCTTTTGATCCAGCAGCCAGTGCCACAAAGCCAAACTGGGACACAAATTTCCAGTTAGTTCTTAGCACATGTCCAGCTTTCCCCACGAGCCAGGCACCAAAAGAACTCCACATCTCCCCTTGCTGGCTGTGGGATCAAATTGGGGTATCACTCAAATCTACCTGAGTGAAGGTCTCCGGTTCCTGCATTGCTGCAGTTCCATTCCTTCAACCCCAAACCTGGATTTTCATTTCCTTTGCTGAGGAATGATGTGCCCATCAAATGATGGGTTAGAAGAACTTTTTTTCCAGGCAGAGGATCATCCAAGTACCTCTGGAAAGCAGCCACGACAGGGATAGCTGCAAAGCAACAGGCTTTTAAAAGCTCTGTTATCCCATTTCCCTCTCCTCCCCTTCTCCCAGCTTTTCTAAGGGGTTTTATCTTTTGTTCCACTTTGGGGAAGCGGAAGGACACTGTTTGTTTTGGGTTTTTTAATCATTAAACAGATTGAGTGTTGCTCCCAACAGAGGGAGCAGGGACCAGGGATAGAATCATGGAATGACAGGAGCTGGAAGGGACCTTAAAATCCTCCAGTTCCACCCCTGCCGTGGCAGGGACACATTCCATTATCCCAGGTTGCTCCAAACCCTGTCCAACCTGGCCTTGGGAACTTCCAGGGATG